AAATATTTTATTTAATTTACATATCATTTATTTGTGTTTTTTCCTCTAATAGTAAGACACTTAAACACTACTTGAATGACCAAGTGATTTTCTTGTTTAAAGTATCTCAATTTGTTATGTCAACACAAGTTTTTTTTAAAAGTTCTCATTTAAATGGCAAGTATACCTAAAAGATAAAAATATAAACTTCAGATGTTTTATGATGTTCCTCTAAATTTTCCATTTAGAAATCAGAATAGAAGAAATAACATTTCCAATCTATCTTTTGTCTCTCCCAAGTTTCTTTTAATTACAGTCTTAAAAGGTTTAGTAAAACTATTGTAATGTAGCTTTAAAAGTGAAGATGGTCGAAAGAAAAAAATTTTGTTAAAAGTTGGGAAAAAGGAATTTTTGATTAATCCGCTAATACTAGGTAAATTAAAAAACATTAAAAGTGTTTTTGTTTTTTTAGTTTCTTGTGTATTAAGTTCATATCTTTGAATCATTGTATAGGTGGCAGCGAAAGTGATGAAAACAAAACCAAGTATGGCTGCTGTAGGTCGTCTACGTGACATCCCACATCTAGAGGAACTTTTGTAAAGATAGATTAGGGACATTCTTGAAAAGTGGTTTGTTTTATAACTGGATTAGAAGTTTACTAGCCATAACAGTTATAGAAGTAAGATTAACAGATGTAGCTTGATTTTAATTTCATTCATCTGTCTCTGGATAAACATGAAATCAGACTGTTAGGATCAATAAAAAAGAAACAGGATTTTTTGATGAATTTCAAACTGTTCACTCTGCACGATTTGTCCGTTATTAATTCAAAAGTTTATAATTATTGTAGATATTTATAAATTATCCTTTCATTTGTTTAACACTTGAATAAAAAGAAGTCAGCTTCAGTTACAAAATAATCAGAATGTCAGCTTCAGTTACAAAATAATCAGAATGTCAGCTTCAGTTACAAAATAATCAGAATGTCAGCTTCAGTTACAAAATAATCAGAATGTCAGCTTCAGTTACAAAATAATCAGAATGTCAGCTTCAGTTACATATAACATCTGGAACAGTAAATGTTTTTGTATTTATTACCTTCCAAACCAAAATAATCAGAATGTCAGCTTCAGTTA